GGGGGAGGCGCGTCCCAGGGCTGCCTCTCCGAGCGCAGGGGCTCACCTGCAGCCGACGACCGACACCGGCGGAGCTGCCTTCCACCCGCCGCGAGGAAACCGTTCTTCGCCTCCAGCCTGGCGGCCAATCGCAGAGCAACTTCCGCCGACTGACAGGCCCCATAGGCCAACCACTGGCCCCTGTGGGCGGGACTTAGCGAGCTCAAACGGGAAGCCCGCGCTAACCGTTGCTAAGGACGCACCCGACTCCTACGGCGCCTCCGAGGAGCCAAGAGACGCGCCTCCGCCAGCGCGGCCCGACAGCGCGGCTCCCTCCGGTCTCGGGGCTGAGAAGGATGAGCGGCGTGGGGCGCGTCTCTCGGCGGCCTCGCCGTGGGGGCGACTCCCTCGCGGGCCCAGCGCGCCGGCAGGGCCGAAGGCCGNGGACCCCCCCGCGCTGAGCGGTCACCGGAGGCGGCCCCTTCGCACAGGCTACGTCCGCGCGGCGACCCCCGGACACAGCCGCGGCCGGTGAGGCGTGGAGGCCCGACTCTGCAGCCCCACGCAGACACCCGCTACGAGCCAGCGCATCGCTCAGATTTTCCTCTCCGCTCGCCGGCAGCCATGGCTCCGGGCGTGCACTTCGGCAGCCCCTACCCTTTTCCCGGCTCTCCGCCTCCTGACGCCTCCGGGCGTTCTTAAATTACCTGTCCGGGGGAGGTCAGGCGCAAGCCTCGGGGACGGACTACAACTCCCATGAGGCGCCGGGGCCGCGCAGGCGCTTCGGGGTTTCGCCCCTGAGCTGGGATTCCATTGGCTGGGCCAACTCTGAGCCGGGAGCCCTGATTGGCTGAGGGGCCTGAGGCGACAAATTCCGGAAAGGTGAAGAGCAGCCAACATGGCGGCGGAGCGCGGAGCGGGCCAGCAACTGTCGCAGGAGATGATGGAGGGTGAGCAGCCCCGCGGGGCGGCGGCCGAAGGGCCTAACGGGTGGGGGACGGCGGCCCGCACCGGCCTTGCCCGAGAGACACGGG